AAATTTTAAATTGATATAGTTTTTTTTATGAATTCTCTAGTTTAAGTTATCTTTCTACATTTTTCTTTGGAGATGCGAGCATAAATTAATACCATATTTCAAATGTACTGCCACGTTTAAAAAACTACATTAAGTTTCTAAATGATGTAGTTTTGTATACAGAATCTGAATGACGTTCAAAGGCATTAACAGAGTTCTGAAGAGCATTATTCTTTGGGGCTATGAAATTCCACTATGTACAGTTTGTAGCCACATAAAAAGCATGCTGAAATGTCTTATTTCATATGACATACTAAATCTGCAGTGATTTTAGATTGAATCCATTGCATTTTAGAAAAAAAGTTTTTCAATTCCAAACAGTTCTTTCTAAAAGTATTTGTAGACATTTCCTAGCCTGGACAAATTCATTTTCTGTACTGAAAAAAAAAGTCATTCTCCAGCTTTGCTTTGGAGTAACAGGTTACCTTTTATCAAAATAATTAATAGCAACTAGATGTGTTTGATCTACAGAGGTCTCCTTTTAAGAAGTTCTGTTACTGCAGTGTTTGTTTTTGATACATTATAGTGAGCAGTTATGGATTATTTTTATTTTCTTCCATTGTTCAAGACCAAGGTTTCAGTTTGCCTCCGGTATTGATCAGTGTAGCAACTTGCACTAACTTTAACAGGAACTGAACTTGGCCTCCAGTTAGTGCCCTGCCTTTTTGTTTCACGGGGAAAAAACAGTGATCTTAAATCAGTCAGACACTGGGTCAGGAACAGCAAATGGTTTGGATTAAATCCAGAGTGGAACTGCTGCAGCACTAATGCTGCTGCTGCTCTGGAGAGTCCTTCTGCTTAGGTGCTTATGTGTAAGGACACAGGCACAGGAAGATTTGTTACCTAGTCAGAAATGGTGGAGAGGCAGAAACCCTCTCTTTAATAGGAACAAAGTACCTGACTGACACTGGAGGGAGGCACCTACCCTGGCTTGGGGATTCTTGGCTGTGCAGTGAACCAGCTCCTGGAAAGCTGGCCCAGTTTTTCCTGTGAGGGAAAAAACCTTCCATTGTGGGGTCCCTGATCTATGCTAGGGATCCTGAATTAATATCTCCAGCATGAATGTTTAACAGATAGATCTGGACACATTTTTCATGACATAAGGAGCCTGAGCCTCCAGCAAGCCATCACCACTGGGACACAGAGTCAGCCTTTCCCTTTTTCTGCCTTTTTGGGAAATTGGGTTGTAGCTTTGACAGTTCAGCAATATCCAAGTTTCAGAGCTTAACTACTTCTCCAGACCATAGTAGTTTTGTTTTAGCTATGTTGTCTGTGTTCACAGGGAAGACAAGATTTGTACACAGAGATAAGGCCTTCAGTTTAGAGACTGGTGTGTGTTGAAAAAAAAGTTGAAAGCTACCAGGCAGGCCTTGTTTACTTGTTTCTGATCACATCAGATCATGTAAATAAAATGTTACTTGGCAAGCTTGTCTTGCTCATAGAGACTGTGGGCATGAGCTGAGCACCAGCCTCACGAATGGAGTTTGTTCTTGGATTTAGGGATGTGGGTGAACAGGCCCAGAGTGCTGTGGAGTCTGACCTGTCGTGGTGGGTCATTAGATGCCCAATGCCACGACCGTGCAATGGCTTTTCAGCACACGTTAGCTAGCAAAGGTCTAAGAAAATATTTAGGTTTTCTTCTCAGCTGTGCCTGTGAATGAATGATGCAAGTAATTTAAACTATAGCTATTTATTGCGATTTAGATTGCAGAAATATGTTAGATATTGCAGTTTCTTAATGTAAGTAGTTTTGCTGACAGTGACTTTTCATCTTCTTCCATGAGTTCAAAAGTTTACTGGTGCCACTTACTTAAGAAAGCTGTGTGCTTATTCTCAAAGCATCACTGTTCCTGCTCTTTCACAGTAGTTAAGATGAATCATTGCTAATCTACTTAAACAGATAGAACCCTTACCACATTGATTGCAGGACTCTGGTTAACAGTATATTTATTTTTCAAAAACGTTGAGATGAATTTTATCAAAGACGACAAATCAACAAGTGCTTGGTAAAATACATTTTTTTTTTTTTTTTTTTCCTAAAGATTGTTGCATTTTTGTTACATTGTACTAGCAGGAGTTGGAAATTCTCTGGGCTGCTTTAACACTTTAAATGTTCCTGAGCTTATATGGTCCCTAAATAAATGTGCCACATTAATACAAACTACATTTTCTAGGTTCAGGTAATTCAGACCTGGTGTTATCGGATAGTTCTGCAAATTTGCTTGGAAATCTTGTTGAGAAATAGAAAAAGCAGAGAAAATGTTTTCTATTCAGTTATTTCTGCAGGCGGCTATTTTGGGCTTTCTGCCTTTCAAGTTCTGATCCCCAGGTCAGGCTGAAGTGGAGCAGGTCCCTCCCTACCATGGTAGCTGACAGAAGGCGGCTTTGGGCGATGGGCTCAACAGCCACCAGTGAGCTGGGGCCCTGCTGGTGAGGGGGTGTGCTCCAGAGGGGCTGCTCTCAGGCCTGAGTTACAGTGCTACCACGAGTTCCTCGGCACCTTAAACCTCACACCTGGCTTCAGGGAGGTTTTTTCCTATGCTATTTTATTTCAAGTTATTTTTTGTTGAGGCCTTAAAAATCCCCTCTAGGCCACTGAATCTTATAGTAATGAAATCATGGGGAGCGTCTCAAAATAAACTGTATTGTCCTGTGATCCTGTTAGCTCCTTCTGATGCCGCTAGAGCTTCAGAAAACAGAACTTTTGTGAAACCAAAGGCATTACCAGACACCTTCATTATCTGGGTAAATTACTCAACTTCTGCTGGATGCCAAACAGACCAGCTGATGGGAGCAGTGGCTTTTCTGAGCAGATGGGGATGGCTCTGGGCCAAGGGAGCACAGGACTGTCGGCGTAACCCTGCTTTGCTCGTACTGCAGGTACCCCTACTGAAAACCTCTGTGAACAGTGTGAACAGGATGGGATCCCAAATTAGCACTTTTTCTTTAATTAAAGAGTGTTTCTAAAACACTCTATAAGGCTTGTCACTTTTTGCAGGCATCTCAGCTATGCATTTGTGTAGATAGAAAATATTCTTTATAAATAAATTTGTTTTTTCTTAACTAAAAGATGGCTTAGAAAAACTCAGATAAAATGCAGGATTTGCGGACCAGTAAAAGAGTGGACTCTTCTGCCATATCCCTGCTTGTCCAGCTGTTTCAAAAGCAGCTTTTAAATATCTTGAGTCAGTTCAGAGCAAAGCAATTTATATATTGCACATGTGTTACATGATTCCTCGAGTGGGCTGGAATGCAATTTCTTTGGCAAAAGTAAAGAACCATGTAACCTTTTTCCTTTATTTATTTTTCCCAGGTATATTATAATTTCAGTAATTTCTGGGTTTTGTTGGAAATATTTGCTCAAGATGAAGTATTGTACTGATTTGTAGTTTGCTTCCAACTTGGAAAACATTCTTTTAGTCTTGTGGTGGGAAAAAAAATTATCTTTAAACCTTTCTGTCCTGAAATAAATTAACACTAGGCTCTGTATTTGTTCTTTCTAGGAAGGGCATATTCTGAAAAAGCGTAAAGCAAGGAACTGTAGTAGAAAGGGAAAAAAACCCTCATGGTTTTAAATCATCCTTACAATCACCAGCATAACACTGAAAGGCTATTAAAGAACTGGTGTTTTCAGGCTGGTGTTGAGTGCCAATGTAAAAAACACCCTGCACAGACCTGATGAATTAGTCCTTGAGAGTTCAGTAGAGTGACACTGGGTTTTGCTGATTTCTGCTGTAAACAGTGAGCTGCTACAGCTCAGAGTAGCTTAATTCCGAGGACGATGAAGCCTTCTTTCAAGGGGAGAAGCTTTGCTGTCTCTAAAGGGAAGGTACAGAGGCCCCGAATCCTTAATGGATTTCTATGGCATCGCACCACGGGGCACTCAGTATGAAGTATTTTTCCTGTTGAACTGCAGTGGGTGAGCACTGGTGCTCGGTTCCTGTTAGGGGAATGTGTGGGGTTGGGCTGCAGCTGCCTGCGGGACGGGAGCTCGTGCTGTCAGCCAGGGTGGGAGCTGGTCCTGGCTGGGATCCTTCAGCTTCGGTGGATGAGCGGTTCTGTGCTTCCCTTCTTAAAAGGGGAACGTCACTCAGCATCTGCTGAGAGGGGAACATGATTCTCTTCAAGCCTTAACAGTGGCTGAAACACACAGTACTGTAAGATGCACTGCCAGCATATTTGGTATCTTAAGATAAATATAGTTTTTTCCTTAGAGATCAAATTCTAGTATTGAAATGCTGTCTTATTGTAACCAGTTAACTCTTGGTTGTTTTGGAAACTGAATCCTAGTGCTCATGTTTCATACCTAACACTGCTTTGGAAAGGTGTCACCTTCATTCTCCAGAGGGTGGATGTTGTTTGGGACAGTCAGTTTGTACTCCTGCCTTGCAGGCATTGCCACGAGCCCACCCTTGTAGCCCAACTTGTACTTTCCTTGTACTTCCATGTTCATTGACCTGCCACTCATGACGGGGGGATGGGATAACACCCACTGGGCTTCTAGAGATTGGGTTTAAAAACTTGCTGCTATATTTGGAAACCTGATATGGGTCATGTTTATTGTGCCTTTCATCGTCGATTTTTCTCTGTGCCAGAGTTGCCCACATATATTTGAAGCAGTCGTTGAGATAAATCTGCTCTCCTGTTCTTTCATGAAGGGAGGGGACAGTTCTGTCGCTAGACAGCCGTTGCTTTACCATCGCAACGCTATTAGGAGCTGTACTTACACACGGTCCCAGGCGAGGTACTCAGTATTATTCTCAAATAACCCTGCTTTTTGGTGTCACTTCAACCCCTGATAATATAGAGCTTATGCCAGTATGTGCAAAATATCTGCAGTAAGAGTTATGCTAAATAGACTTGTTGCAGTTAAAATTTAAGCTACAGAGATGTACAAGTAACTTGTTTTTAGGAATGTACTGCAAAAGTATTTGAACAAAATTGTTAACATGTTTACTGTTGTAAATATTTTAATAAAAAAAGGACACTTCAAACTTTTTTTTACACAGTTATCTACAATAAAGAGAAATTTACAACCATTTACAAAATGTTCTTAACTTTTTCTTTACTGTTAGACAGCCAAGATAAAAAGAAAACAAACGTTACGTACATGAAGCCCTGGTTTTATTTCACTCTGTATTTATAAAAGGAACAAAGCATCTTGGTGAAGTTCCATCCACACGCTAATGAGATCAAGTAGAGCAGGATGAGAATGGCAAATGGGTACAGAAGGATGGCTGTGTTCTTCAGGAAGGGCAACGCTGAAACAGAAGCAGCAAGGAAGCAAGTATAAAGTAGTGCTCTTTCAAAAATGGTACCTCCTGCAGAATGGTCTGGGGGAAGTCAGCAAAAATGGTGCTGCTCTGGCCAGCCTCTGAGGAGGGCAGGCTTGTCATCTCTGCCTGCTAGTCCTGCCTTTGTCACAGACCTGAGTCCTTCCCTGGCACAGGAAACTGCTCTACCTGAAGCCGTAGTCTTACACTCGCCACAGAATTTTTATTCAATGCCAATATTTTGAAGTGGATTTAGAGGAAGCAGAGAAACAAGTTGTGGTGCTACAGGTCTAATACAAGAAAGGAATATAAGTAAGTTCTTCAGGTAGGATGTCCAGCCAGCTGGAAATGAGGATCAGTACTTCTCTATCAAGCTTTTACCACACTGAAAGAATTACTTCAGTGCCCAGCTGAGCCTCCACTTTACAAATTATGGCCTGGGATCAAATCAGGGGGTAAGATTACACTCTTGTTTAAAACAAGAGTCAAGCCCGTAGCAGGGAAGTTGCCGTTACTCACCGCTGTACCCCAGGAATGTCACGTAGATGTAGTAGCCGATGGCTATCAGCCACAACGTGTTCCCAACAAAGTACCCCACCACCGAATCCGAGATGATGACATCTGAAAGAGACAGCTGCTCTCAGCTGGTCTGACTGGGCAGGATCTCGAAGCAGAGAGCACAGAATACTCCACTTACAGTTGATGAAGAACAGTTGGATAAAATGCAGAATGACGAGAAGAGGATAGAAAGCGTTCAGGTGGACATCAAAGGCATATCCCCACTCCACATCATAGTCCCTGTTCTGCTGCTTCACCAAGTACTTGTTGGAAATGAACCTATGTGAGAAGGCAGGAGAAGGTTGTGAATGTGAGTCATACAGCTGGCTGACAAAACGTTGGCTTGAGATAGTAAACTGTATGTCAGCCTAACTCAACCCTTACAAAGTTTATCCTATCTGGGAGAAAATATGCAAGAATTGCACACACCAGACTGTTGTTAAAACGTCCTGGTTATTAAAACAATACTGCCAGCTCTTGCATTCAAGGGGCAGCTGACATACACTGCTGGCAATACAGAAACGTAACATTTTAAAAAATAGATCAGCACTACAATTTATCAGTGCAGCTCCGACGGGGAGAAGCATTACTCTATGCTCTTCCCCAAGCAATTTATGGGCTTTGGTGTCCCAGACAGGAGAGTAGGTCAGATGGACCTTTTGCCTGTCAGCTACAGTTCTGGTCTGTGCCCCATCCTGAACTCTGCAATGACAAGCGGGAGCTCCTGAGGTCACTGTTTGAGGAATCTACTCCTTTTTCGACTGGCACCAGTTTTAAAGTGTCACCTCTGTTATCAAAAAGTCTTTTAAGTGCCCTTACATCCTTAAGTTCTTAGTAAAATGAAGATTCTTCCTTTGGTGCACTCTCCGTGCCACAGCCCAGGAGCAGGGACGTCTGTTGGCTCAGGGCCCCTCTGCTGGTGCAGGACACTCCTGCAGCCTGCCGAGGCCCGGGCTACAAACGGACCCGCTGCTGCCCCCCTCTGTAAGTCTGGACAGTACAGGGGACACCTGGCAGCGGCTGCCACCAACAGAATCCTCAGGCTTTGTTGACTTAAGCCGTTCAGACAAAATAAGAAAAGAATTTTTTTCATCACTGAATTTTCTATTTGGCATTATTGCTGAGGCCCAACCAGCTCAAGAACAAAAGCAGCTCAAATTTTCTTCATAATACACTTTCTGAACAGTTATCTTCTGCAGCAACTGGCAAAGAACAAGATGAGTTCTTTTGTAAAGCAACGTTTTGAAATAATTACCACAACAGCACAAAACCAATATTTATAATTTTGCCCCAAACAGAAAACCAAATATCTTGCAAAGAGCAGAGGACTACCTGTGCCCCAACAGCAACACCCAGCTCAGTTCCAGACACCACTTACCACATCAGAGTTGCAATCAGGAGGCCAACGCCCACGCAGTCTATGAACACAACCCAAAGTAGCAGCTTTATTGTTTCAAAAAAACCCATGTCCAGCACAAAACCAAATCCTACAGTGGATGCTGAAAGGAGGACAAGGGAAAAGATTATTCTTGTTAGCTATGGGAAAGAAAGCATGACATCTTAAATTGGTTTGGTTTTTCTTTTCTTTTTGTTTTATACTGTTTCAAAATCTCCACTTTCGTTACTATTTTTCTCCCTGAGATTTTTCAGTCCAACAGCTCATTTGTCCCAACAAATACTAAGCATAGAGGAATTTATTAATAATACAGACACCTTCACAGAATGGAGAGCACTCAGCTGTCCTGGGGCTTAATGACACAACAACAAATTCTATCACAGAATTGCTTTGGTTAAGAGACCTTTAAGATCATTGAGTCCAACCACTAACCCAGCACTGCCAAGTCCACCAAAACAAGTCCCTTACACCATATCTGTGCATCCTCCAAACACCTCCAGGGACGGTGACTCCACCACTTCCCTGGGCAGCTTCTTCCAGTGCTTGACAACCCTTCTGTGAAGAAATTCTTCCTAATGTCCAACTTAAGCCTCCCCTGGTGTAACTTGAGGCTGTTTCCTCTTGTCCTACCGCTCGTTCCTTGGGAGAAGAGACCGACCCCCACCAGGCTCCAGCCTCTTTTCAGGGAGTTGTAGGGAGTGAGAAGTTTCCCCGCAGCCTCCTTTTCTGCAGGCTAAAAGCTATTGCTCCTCCACAACTACAACTTTTTTTTTTTTTTTAAATTCACACAATGCTACAACAGAATATTCTTTATTTTATAAAAGCTCCTTGTTAACCCAAATGGTGCATGGGGTGACAACCCTGAAATAAAATTATGTAGCAAGTTTGACATGACTAATGATAATGTGCTACATAACAGGAGATAATGAGGGTAACACTTACTGCATGTGCAAGTCAGTCTAAAAATCACACGAGACATCTTGTTTATAGCTTAATTCTGTGATATATGGGATTTGAGTAGGCTCTTTATAGTAAAAGCAGTATTTTATGTGTAACATTCACATAAACCAGATGTTCAGTATTTTTCAACTGCAGCATTACTGCATGTCATGGGCTTTTATTACTGTCTGTAAAGTTACAGGGAACTACATAGTCCAAACACCACAGAAAGTGAGTTGCAATAGAGATTAATTCAGCCCTATATAGTATTAGTTACACCTCCTCTGTTTTCTAATTCCCACCTGTACCTCCAAAAGGTTAGGCCATTTTTTTTCTATTCTGCTTTGATTAAAGATACCCCATATGGTCTGGTCCTTTTACATGCGTGTGTAACAAGAAGGGCCATGAATGTTCACCCCTAAACCTCCCTTGCCTCCCCCTCACACCGTCTGCTCCA